TGTGTGTGTGTGTGTGTGTATATATACACACACACACACACACATAGGCCTACATACATAATCAAAATAAAAATTATGTACATCGAACTGTTGCTATGGTTACCACAGTCAAACGTTTTGTTCACTAGTGATGCATTATTGTCGTGTCATATCGTATGTATGACAAATCTGCGGTTACTGTTTGAAAAGGCTGTTGAATAGCTTACACAGGTTATATGCACAAGGAACGAGAGGACCAGGCCCGTAATTTGCACCTGGGTTTTAAATAAATTATTACTATGGTGAGATATCGTAGTTCACCTAAAAACATAACACAGCACCTGTTTCTCCCTTACAGTGTGATGGACGTGTATTTCAATCAGCATGCAATTAACAACGATCATTAAAACCCGCCTCTTTTGCGGTGTTGACAAACATCTCGCTAGGACACAACGATCTACTCCCGTTATACCGGAAACACTAGAGCTAACGGTGTCAAAATGTCTCCATTCACGGTGCTTCGTGACACTTTTGCGAACTCTTTTCGCGCAAGTTCACCAGCCGGAAAGCGTCCGTAACAGAGACAAACAAAGAGTGCACTCGTGGTTATGATCGCAGGGACCGCGATACAAAACAACAAAGGATCGCGCCGCGCTCATTGCATTCGTTGATTCATTCATTGGCAGGCCTGTGTTTTGCAGCGGCGTTTCCTGCTCACAGCTCAGCAACAATGTCAGGAGATCTCAGATCGCATCAGCCGCTGATCTCGGTCTCCGGCTAGATAGAGGACATGCAGACAGATGCCTGCTGCCTCACCTCTCTCGTTCCCCATCCCTTGCACTCACTGTAAAACAATGCACAGTAATATGCACTAATACATGCGTGTCTCTCACCCTGTTCAATGAAGCTCGTAGTTCCTTATCGGATGTCCGGTGGCTCCTCCTTCCTGACGGACACTCGCATTCAGCCTGCGAGCGTAGCGGCGCATGAAAACAAACCTATCCTCTATACAATTAACAGGAATAAAAATCAAGACAGAACATTAAATCCGCTAGCAGTTCGTTAAATCAGAGCCGTGTTGTTTCTCTTCTGCGGGCTGACAGCTCACCGCAGCGTGCAGAAATGAACGGCTTTAAAATGAGCTCGAGCACATCCACGATCACATCCAGCGCCTCTCCCTCCTGAGAGACTCTACACCTCTGAGTCTCAGTAGTACCTGTTGAGCACCTGCCCCGGGACGCATGATCATGACACCCATAACGGCCAATAGCTCTGGAAAATGTATATGGTAACTGTGCAAAACCACGGCAAGGTATTTGCTCATGGAGATGAAAACAATTTAAAGTTGTATTTAATGTTGCGCATATTTTCTGTCGTAACAAGAAAATATGAGGAACATTTTTTAGACTTACTGCCGTAACGTAAAGTATGTCTCGCATGTTGTAGGACACACTAATGAATTTAAATTTCTCCCATTTTAAGTCGGTCCGATTAGCAGTGTCAGAGAAACAAAATAGGCCTGCTGCATTGCGACATACACAAAATTGTTATTTTATCAAATATGTCAACATTAAGGCGAGACACTGCAGGTGAATAGGGTAAAAAAAAATTAACTACTAATTATCACCTTACCTACACAGTTGATTGATTACATTGATAATTGCAAAAAAAAAAATTGTATTACAAGTTTTGTAAAATATTATGTTTAAATATGCAAATGAGGCATTATTTAATGAAATATGCGCTAATTTGCATACATTTCTAGTACAAAAATCTGAACACTGGATGAAGTCAGTTTCAAAATTCTT